GTAGAAGAAGGAGAAGATCGGAAACAAGTAGAATTGGGAGGGGCGAGGAGTGGGATTCGGAGCAATTTGATGGAATGATATAAACAATAATTTGGGTGTCTAAATTTAAGATTTAAGAATTACGGTACTGTAGTTGACATATATGATTATTTAGATGGTTGATTTACGCATAATGTAGGATAAAAAAGCTGAATCGCTATTCGTCGCCCTAAAATTTAAATTTTATCGCCCTAAATCACACTAAATTGACACAATTATCCCTAACCTCCATTTCTAACCTAAATACTAAATAAACAATGGCTCATCTCTACCCACTGCAAACCCCACCGCCTGGGAGAAAAAATTCTGTCGTCGACCCAACTGCCCGTAGCAGCTTCCGTCGAATTCTGCTCACCGCCACCGCCACAATCATCCCATCTCAACCCGATCCCCCACCCTCATCCGTCGCTGCTGCTGGTTGTGCAACCACCCACCAACAGAATTCTGGTTGCCGCTACTGCCACTCCCACAACCATTAATGCTCTGTTTCTGGCGGCTGGGAGATCTTCCTCCACGAGGACTGTACCACCTGCCATAGAGCAGCCCAAGTCAAACTAACAACTCATATAGGTCGACAGAAGTTACGAGAAGATGCAGGAATATATTCCCAACATAACCTTAGGCCATAAACGGGACTCCTTCTGTATCTCGAACTAAGTTTGTCTTCTTCCTGAACCACCACGTGAGCGGCATTTGCGTGCAAAACGACCTGGGTAACATTTTACATAATATAATTAATATGTTAAGACCCAACATAGAACCAGAAACATCCAAATACAACCACGTGAAGCAAAAAGTGAAAACAGCCACTTCAGTAAACAATAATTTTACCATCTAGCTCATGAATAGCATCCTCAACATCCCTTTTGTCATCAAATTCAATAAAGAGATGACGAGTAAAGGGTGTTTTGGTGTAGGTTATGTGTATTTGTCTGAAGGTTTGTGTTTGTGAAACAAAAAATAAACTAGGGACATTAGGGTAAATTGATTAAAATTTAGGGCGATGAATAACATTTTTTAGGGCGACGAATAGCAATTGTGTGACTAACATGTATAAAAAATAATTAACGAGTGTGATCGTAAATCTTTAATGAATTCAATTTAAATATAATTATTATAATTAAAAATAAGTGTATGAAAGTGAACGCAGGTGTTAAAATGCTCATGACATCATCTGTGAAAACATGCTCACAGTAAGACAATGTCGTCGAATTATATGTGACGATGGACATTTTCGTTTTCAATGAGGCGTACCTTGAGTAAGAAAACGCTATCCAGAACTTGAATTAACTGATCTTTCGAACATGATAATATAATCTAACCCTTAAAGTTCAAATTATAGGCCTTAATTCTCTAAATCTTATACCCCAAGATCAATTTAATTAGAAACAATAATCGACGGTTATGATTCGTCCAAATATAGGTAAAAAAATCAATGCACCATCTTAGGGTTTATAGTTTGTGGTTTAGATAATTAGGACCTAGCGATCACTCATTAAGGGTTAGGGTACAGTATCATGCCCAAAAATTCTGCTAATTTGAGGTCTAGATAGCGTTTTCATACTCAAGGTATGGTGGCGTCTTCGGTGCACTCACTTTTTTGGGTGCATTCAGTGCACTCGCTTCATAACCGTCATTTTAAACATGCGATTATGTCAAAATAATGTCAATCATCACTTATGATATGATGAACAATAACGCACATGAATTTGCACAAAAACCATTGAAGATTTACTTTAATTTGAAAGATTTAGAGTTTAGAGATTTAGGGTTAGACTTAGGGTTTACAATTTGGGGTTTAGGGATAAAACTCAAAATTGGAGGTCTAGGGCTTAGGGTAATCCGCTAATTAGTTGTTATCATATCTTATATCATCATATTACACTAATTCTACAAATTAAAATTCAAAATCAGACACTTTAGAACTAGTTTTTGAGTTGGGTGTATTGAACACACTCTTTTTTGTGAGTGCACCGAAGTAGTCACCATATATATATATATATATGTCTAATAACTAAATTAACCATTAGATACAACAATCATTTGTTTTAGAAAAATTCACTAAATTTGTCTACTTGTTTTCTATACTTCTACACTTATTGCACGTGATTAGTGCATAGGGTATATGGTGTAGAGTATAGGATATATGATAAGGGTATAACAAATATAAATTTTTTATTTATGTTTTGAAAATCAAAGTATTAATTTCACTTTAAATTAACTATACTAGCAAAATCACAACTGATAAGGATATATGGTTAGGATATAGGGTATGTGGTTAGTGTATAATACATTGATATTTTAGCGTATATGATCAATAACATATACTAACTTAATATTATCGATTGAGGGGAAGGTTAAGTGTATAGGATATATCTTATTGAGTAAGTTATGGTTGAAGTCACAACAATTTTACTAAATTTGATAGTTAATCTTTAATGGTTCAATTTCTAGGGTAATTCGAACAATTTACAAATAACTCATTTGACAACGGTTTACTGAAGTTATTTGGACAATGAGTTATTTCGAAATAACTCATTTTACCACTCTGCTTTTGCCAAATACCACACGCCAAATTCTAGATTTGCATGGTTATACTAAACGAGATACTTTAATCCAATTACTATTGAAATAATACTACAATAACAAATAAACAATTAATGGTGTCTTTTGGTTGCAAATATTTATATCAACATTACTATTAGCTAGTGTACTTTACCAATTACGATTAATTACATAACAAGTTTGCAAGTCATACAAATTGATTCAGTATTTTGACTAGTTTTTGTAATTAAGTATATATACGAGGTAGAAAGAAATTGGTTAAAAATTGAGAATAGTATTTTAAATTAGTTTAATAAATTGTGTAAGTTGGTAACGAGTAAGGAGGAAGTTAATTGATGCGCTGACCGAACAACCCGCAACCCGATCCACCCGCAACCCGCCCGACCCAAAACCCGATGAACCCGCAACCCGATTGAACCCGAACCCAAACCTGATGAACTGAACCCGACTAACCCGCAACCCGTTTGAACCCAAACCCGAACCCGAAACCTGACTAAACCGTAACCCGATTGAACCCAGCCCGAAGCCGCCCGATTGACACTTATAGCTATGGATTCACCGAATCCGTATATTTTATAGAAAATTACGTTTTTCATTGCCTTTTGTATTGTGAATTTTAGTTTTAGAGATTTCAATTATAAAACATATGGATATCGAATCTCTTATAATAAGAGAGATTCTATATCAATCGTGTGATTTTTTTTCTCATACTATATTCCTTTTCTTTTATATTTATCCAATTAAATATATGTATCAATAAATTCTCAATATTTCTCAAACTAGTCTAATTATTTATTAAGGATAAATGACTAACTCTGACTAGACCAAATAAAATTCTGACTAGAGTTGAGTATAAACTCTAGTAGGGTGTAGTATAGGGCAAATATTTTAAAATTTTAACTCGGGACGGTGCATGTACTCCTACTTCAATCGTTTAAAACATTATCTAGCTATCGGTTCTGAGTGAAAACTAAAAACTACAATTTTAAGTAAGCAAGAAGTTAAATTGTTGTGGATTCTATATGAGTAAACTTCACTCGGGTATTGCTACCCTTAGCCTTGTACCAAGTTGCAATAATCTGAACTCTAGTGTGATATAGTGTGTTCTTATACCACGAAGATAACACAATAGATGGAAAATTTCCACTCTCTTAGGAAACCGATTAAGGAAAAGCAATTAAGCTTGGAAACCTAGCGCTCTCAATCAATTTGCCAAAGATTGCTAACCGATCCCCTGAAGGTTAATCCGGAACGGCGACAAAGAGATAAAACACAATCAAATTATGACGCTAAATCGATGCTTGAGGTGAGTCCCTAATTGCTCGAGAAGTGGTTACCCGATTTGCCAAGAAGTGGGCAAGGAGGGTATTTTCTCCCTCTAGGTCAATTTGACCCACAATTAATACACAATCATGAAAATACCTCAAACATTATATTAATTCACACAGTCAACACACATAGAGTTCAAATTCAACAACCTATCACATTTATAGGCTCGAGTTCACAATACCCAAGTGAAAAATAGAACTACTCCATAGCTAGGCTAGAGATTACAACAAAGAGGATGGCAAAAGTTCCTCAGGAACTCCATTTTGGTGCTCTCAACCATCGGAAGATCTCATCCAAAGAGTCTGTTGAGCATTCATATGCAAGCATCCGAAAAAAACTAGTAAGCTTTTGGTATGGGGAGAATGAGTCACAACCTGCAACATCATTTTCTTGCTTGAAGTAGTCATTGTATTGAACAACATCATTCATGGTTCGGTTGAATAAGGTAGGGGGCATTCGATATTGCCTTGTGAAGTAGGTTTGATTTGAGGAGAAATAATCTTGCATCACCGCTTGTGACCTTTTTCCTTGTTACATCTCATTAATTTTCGTGATGGAGAAGTATGATGAGATGATGTTGCTTGTTGTTGGTGCACGAGTTGTACATCATGAACATTATGTATGTTCACGCTCAAGCTTAAACTCATACTCCCATTAATTATCATCAGCTTCCCTTTGCCTCTCGTCAGCTTCTCTTTTACTCTCATCTAACTTTTCTACTATGGGAATCCATGTAGCAAAAAAATGAGTTTTTTTTATAGTGAATGTATGAAGGTTGAATGAGTTTTATTCCTGACTAAATGTTCGATGATGGATTAGTAGAATGACAAAGCTTGGTGGTTCATTTATAGCACAAAAATATTCTTTTTGCAATAATACGTGTCAAAATAGAATGAGCAGTTGGCAACACAATTCATATGACTAAAGTTGGATGGACGGTTGATGACACAATTCATTTTGGGAACGATGTGATGAAACTATGACCATATGAACAGATTATTGTATCTTAGTCATTGATGAGGTCATATTTAGTGACAAATTTTTTATCCTAATTATAAAAAATTATATCAAAATGTTTGTCTTAATTAATCATTAATACCAAAATATAAAATCTGAAATGAGTTATAATATGGTGAATTCTACTCTAAACTAGATTGTATCAAACACACTAAAATTGATGGATATGTGACTTTGATTCTCCCCATTATATTGGAACAAAAAATCCCTTTTTCTGGAGGCAACCAAATGTAGCACCAATTGGCACTAGACTATGGGATGGTCTTGCTCTTATTATTTGGTGACGTTAAGAGCCAATTTACCAAGGAAGTTATTGGCGAGGCTTCCTAAGTAGAGATGACCCTCAAACTCAAACGCAGTGGTGACAAAGCTCATCAGTTTACCGTCGGGATCTTCGAGCATCTTGATGATCCTTCCATCTGCTCCCACCTTGACAACTCTAGCCTTTGTTGTCGGCGCTCGGGAGACGAGTCCGAGTAACCGAGGAGTCGATGCCACCAAGTGCTTGAGTAGCTTTGAAGTGTGCACGAACTCATGCCCCGGCGAAACTACCTGTATGTGACCAAAACTATACATTAGCTTTTCTACTTACTGATCATATAGTTAGTTTGTAGAATTTAGGTGTAAACATTAATTAATGTGTCCGTAGTAGAGATTATGAATTTGTACCTGTATTAGACCAATCCAGAATGAGCCGTCGGGAGCCAAATGAATGTTATCAGGGCCACCAGGGAGGTTGTCCACAAATATTTCAGTAGTCCCTTTTCGTGCCCCGGTTAGCCAGTACTTTTGGCATCGAAATCTGAACTCCATTAACAATGAACGTTACCTACCTACCAAACCCTTACTAAGATTGATTGATCGATCGAGTTGAGTCGAGTCGAGTGTCAGTAGTGTGACTTACTTCCATGTCTCGCAGAAGATGAGGCAGTCTTCTTCTTTGGGCAGCACTACCCCGTTGGGGAAGCACAGGTGGTCCAGCAGAACGGTGGTCCGGCCAGTCAAAGGATCGTACTTGAGGATCTGGCCGTTGGGTTTTGCCTCCAATACGTCCAGATACCAGTTGTGGTACCCAAATTTGGTGGATGGAACACTGATATACACGCTCCCATCACCCGACTCTACCACCTCATCTGCAAACCTGACCTCACTTAAACGCACTTCATGTGTGTTATACATCTTGCAATTCGTCTCATAGTAATAATAAAAGAATAGAAACTAAGGAAGGGTATCCAATCGAAATTAGATCAGATTTGGAGCATGAATCGTCCAATCCATTAATTGACCAAATCACAAACCTAGAACCGGATCGGATAGAGATAAGGAAGGAACAAATTGTTTGGTGTTAGAGTGTGAATGTTGGTTTACTTTACTAATGTTTCGCACCTTCATGAACAAACTATTTGCTTAACTAATGTTTTGTTTGACTAGTGTTTGCTTGAATGAATCACGAGTGCAGTATATGACAAGTGTCAAAGATGGTGAAAATAAGTGTTGTGCTATCTTCTATGGTCATTGAGAACGTCAATGTAAAGCGATATCATCAGTTGGTCGCAAAAAGCTATAATGTCATTGGAAGCCATTGTAAGAGATCATGATAGGCTAGTTATGAACACGACGTGAATTGTTAATACAGATGTTGCAAATCAATGATAATGTTATTCAAATTGTTAATAATAATGCGACATAATTTCAATAATTCCTTCTTGAGTGGTGATGACGAAAATGTAAGTCGTTAATAATTGATATAAAATCGCTAATAATTTAATCGTAAAGCATTGATAAATATATTGAAATAGTTAATAATGATGATAAGCGTTGATAATAACTTGCAAGTCGCCTTGCAAATATATTGAGGACATTTTTAATTTCAAATTTCCACCTTCAAAACATTATATATTAATTTCAAAAATTTAATTAAAATTTTAATATAGTTGATATATCATATTTACCCTTTAGGTGGAGGTATGTTCTAAATCTCGCATTGCTCCAAACTAGTTGTTTTAAGGAGTGGGAATTAATAACAAGAAATGAACCCGCCGCTAAGATTAAGAAACCGCAACTGATTCAGTGTCCATTTTGATCCAATGTGCCGGAACTAGAATCCCCGGCCTATAGATTATAAACAATCAAATAATATGCTAGCTAATATTATAATTAAGGATTAGTATTTGGTTCGAACTTGTAGTTCTCTCTAGCCAGCAACCAAGAGATTTGAGAGTTGTTAGTTACCTAATCTCGGACCCATCAACTCTGTGGGATGCAAGAACAGTTGAGCCAGCCTCAGTAACCTTAACCAAACCCTGCAACCATGCATGAAAAAGAGTGGTATTTCTGTCAAGCACAAATACAAGTCGATAATTGATCGATCGATTAATTAATAACTTTTTCCAATAATTAGTTACTGAGTACGTACTTCATGACTTGTGGTGGTATATATTATTATTTATGGGATTAAAGACGTAAAACTCAAGCCATTTAGCTTCAAACTCAAGCCATCCAGATAGGCTTGGAGTTTGGACAGGCACAGGTCCAGACACCGTGTGCTTTACAGAAACAACAAAAATAGATGGGGTCACCGGGAATCTAACAGAAGATTTCACGGTCACAGAAGGCTCCGATACCGTGTCAAGAACCAGTTGATTCCAATAACTCGAGTTGTTGGGAGAGGTTCAATCGTGAATCATATACTGTTTACTAACAAAAGAATGCTGATTACCAATTGAGCATCGGCAATAAGAACTCCAGCAGTAGCGTGGTTGGAAGGTGTGATACCCAGCGCAGAGGAGCTGTGAATCTGCTTCCATCTTTCCCAACACCCATCTACATGGATTTGCATCCTTCTGATCCAGCCATCTCTTCCTATTGTGTGGACGACGCCACCCTTGTCCACAAAAAGATCCTCTGGCCCTTCAATCACGCCCTCCTCCCCTACCCTCCTCACATTCTATATGCATACAGAGAATTAATTAGCTAGGATGTGATCAACAGATTAAAAAAAAAAAAAAAGGAAACGTACGTAGTTCTGTATAATGCATATGTGGTGTAGGTGGTAGTTTACCTGTAACTCTTTGTTGGAAGGAATGGAAGAGGGAGAAGGGAGGTGGAGTGCGTCGGGAGAAATGGGGGAGAAGAAGAATACGTGAAGGGTAAATGCGACCGAACAAGCTATCGCAAACCCTGCGAATGCTGCTACCATATTCATGGCTGCCCAGCTAACCTTATCCACTGATCACAAGGCCTTTGGCAAATATTTGCGGTGGAGTTTTCAGTGCAAACAAATAGTCTCCAATCTCCATCACCACATATATGCAATAACTGGTGTTTGTCTGTTTGCGAGCATGAATTGCCAGCCATTCCTTTATTAAACAAGGAAAAGAAAAAGAAAAGCTACCATTCACTTCCTACTATTTGATGCGTCCGTGCTTCGTGTCTGTGAGACTGTGACCATAGCCCATAGGCGCGGAGCCATCCCATATTGCTCGTCACGGGTTAATATATATATATATATATATATATATATAGTGGCGTATTCGGTGCACCCACTTTTTTGGGTGTACTCAGTGCACCCGCCTCATAATTATCATTCTGAGCATGCGATTCATGTCAAAACAGTATCAATTGTTGCTTATGATATTATGAACAAGAAGCACATGAATTTGGAAAAAAATCATTCAAAATTTACTTAAATTCAAAGGATTTAGGATTTAGGGATTTAGGGTTAGGGTTTAGGTTTACAATTTGGGATTTTGGGTTGGGATTCAAAATTGAAGGTTAATGGGTTAGGGTAATAGATTTATTTGTTATGATTCTATGTCATATCATCATATTAGATCGAGAGTACTAATTCAAGTTCAAAATTTGATGTATTATGGACACTTTTAGAGTTGGGTGCACTGAGTACACCCAAAAAAGTGAGTGCGCCGAAGTAGCCACCTATATGGTATATATATATATATATATTATTGAAATATATAGTATTATTAGAAAGACAAAATTAAAATGGCAAGGTGCAACAATGAAAGAAAAGAGTGGAAGGGAGGAGGAGCAGAACAAGAAATCGCGAGAGCATCTTCCACCGTTTAAAACCCCAACTAACAGTGCTGAGGGACGGCAACTCAGATTACCACTAATGCTAAGTCTAACTTGGGAAAAGTCTACATTTTAACTCTTTTAGCAAAGTCATCGCCATTCGGAGATCAACCTGGTGGGCCTTCGTTTCTGTGTCATCAAAGATTCTCATGTTCCTTTCTAACCATATAACCCAGTAGACTGCATGAATCACAACCCTCGAGCACCATTGGCCTGGTTCCTTAGATTCCTCATGGCGCCAAAGTCTGATTCTTTTCGTGATATCCACCGCATTGGTTCTGACTCCTTCGATCTTAATGAAATACTTCAGAATGTTCCACACTTCACTAGAAAACTTGCATTTGATAAAAATGTGATTTGTCGATTCTTCTTCTTCCTTGCACAAATCACATCGGTTGGGTTGGCTAACTCCCTTCTTCTTTAGATTATCAAGGGTGAGGATTCTCTTATGAAAAACCAACCACAGAAAGATGCAAACTTTGTTTGGCACTACAGCTTGCCAAATCACCTTCGCCGGAAAGTCATCGCTGCCTGGGAATCTTGCCGCTGCGAGCTGCTCATAAGGCGAGTGAACAGTGCAGCCAGCCCTCGGCTCCGCGAGCCAAACTATTTTTTCAGGACCTGTAACAAATGAAGAAGGAAGGGAAACCAAAAGCTCAAATAATCTCACACGCTCTCTCTCTGCCCCACCCCGAAGTAAAAATTTGAGAGGAATGTCACACTGGGTTACAACTCCCTGTTCGACAAGGTGCTCAGCAACTCTAGCACTCTAGGACTCCGCTGCGGCCTGTACTCGCGAAAATTCATCTGCCAAGCGGGTACGTCTGATCCAAGTGTCAAACCAGAATGATGTCCAGTATCCAGCCCCATGATCAATATATGCCAATTTCCAGAAGTCCTTCTGAAGCTTCATAATTTGTTGCCAAATGCTACTGCCGACCTTTCCTCGAGTTCCCCAGCCACCCATTCTAAGACAGGATTAGGATACTTTGTTGCTATAATCTCCCTCCACCAGCTACCTCTCTCTTCCGCAAACGGCCACTGCAATTTATGGTGGAGCGCCTGATTATGAAGCTCTAAGTCCCGAATTCCAAGCCCTTAATATTTGCGACGGAAAAAAAACTCCACAACCTAACACCAGTAACGTAAGGACATTTTGTCACTACACCACAACTGATCATTACTTATTTAATAATTAACAAAAAAAAGTAATTAATCTATTTGTTTCATTCATATACTATTATTTGGCAACAGCTTGTCGGGTATTACCATGATGTTATGAGATTTCATGAATTGATGAAATATCTCGAATAATGATAGAGACAAAAGTGCATCAGTCATATCCGTAAGTTTATTTGTTTCTAAAACTAGTTTTGATTCTACTAGTTGCAAATGTAAGTGTAGAAAGATTATTATTAACTTGAGCTAAATATGAATGAATTATTTGAATATTATTAGTTTTAATTAGATTTATTATATATTTATCTTCTTAAAAGAGGACAAGAGTAATTTCAAATCTTGCCTCTGCCACTGGTGAAGATGTGTTGAGCGGAGGATTGGAAACTCTCGAAGGAACTCGGTTTCTCATACCCTTTCTATTTATACTATGCTACTGCAATCAAGACAAGTACTATAATAAAGAATAATTAATAAATAGAATAATTATCTTACTATGATACATTTTAATCATGGAGTAATTATTTTTCTAATTCAATGTGGCTTATTCTACCGAAAGAAGAAATCTTCTGGGTTTTTGCTCCTATAAATAGAGCAATCCCAAGACCCTCTAAACGCAATTCGAAGAGCAAAAACACGAGAGAGAGAGAGAGAGAGAGAGAGAGAGCGCTCTAGTTTTCTCACAAAATCGCTGAGCAAACCGAAGGAGTGGTTGTTGTATCATGGAGGCGATCGGCTTATAGTCTTTTGTAAGCAATAAGAAGCAGTGTCACGAACATTTTAAAGAGAGTGTCCTAATCCGCGACACAACTAAATCAGTAATTATAATTTTTCTATTCAATTTCTAACAATTTACAATGTTTTGTTATTGTTATAAGTATCAAACAGGATGTCGATTCTAGCTCGACATGGAGGGAGTTTTTTAATTACGTCGAGGGAAAGGGTTGTCTTTCCTGACCAGACAGTGATTGAGATTCTAAAATCAAAGAGACCAGGAGACTTGGAGTAGGACGTTGGGTTGTCGATATCTTGGGGGATTAAGCATTGCACCTAGATACCATGTGTTCCGTCCGTAGAGCTGCAGACTACTGGTCATGGACAACTAAAAGAGTCGTCTCTGCTAGAATTCGGAAAAGCTATTCCTTGCTTTATTCGTTGGTCGATTTTATTTTTAAAATAGATTGTTGATTATGTTCCCTAAACTAAGGGGAGCCCGATTCTCTAGGGTTAGATGTATAGTATGCAAATGAAAGCATATCCTTAGTTGCACCCTCTTCTACGAAAGTTAAGCTCTTACTCGAGAAGAGTATATAGAAGTGAATGTAGTTGTGAAGCCTACTGAACTAATGAGCGTATCCCTTTATTTATAGGGGCAAAACTTGGCCAAAACCCTCACAAACCATCTATGAAAATTTTTCTTTTACTTATGACTGAAGTAAGGGCCTAAAGGTCTTGTTTCAGAGTTGGGTCTTTTAGCAGCGGTAGTGCGGGGGTTGAGACTGTCGCCCTTCTTCTTCATGGGATGGCCTCTTGGCCCATGGATAACCCATTCGAAATATTTGGACACGTTTTGACCATGTTTTCCTCCTTAAGGCTTTTTCGACTTAAATAGTATTACTATTAGGCTTCTCTGTTGTTGGACCTCGTCTTTATCATAAAAACTCCATATTCTTCTCTTTATAGCTCTTTTGGTCCTCCAAAGTTTTCTAATGCTTGATCCAAGTTTCCTTATATTGGTTTAACCTTGAAAACCATTAAAAAAACATACCAATAAGGCATCGAAGAGTACAAAAACACACTCTAAGTCTATTACAGTCTCATTGATCAAATAGTTATGATTTAAATATGAAATTCAAGTGAAAGAACTAAAAATGCATTGATAGAAGGGAAAAATTTATCAAGAATGAGAGTGATAAACACGATAAATAAAGTGTTATCAGAAATACCCCGCACTTCAACTTTGCTTGTCCCCAAGCAACATTACTCATAACCATACAACTCAATGAAGCCTAGGAACAATCACTCGACCTTGATCTTTGGTAGTGGATCATAAGCCATTTAAGAGGTAAACAATAGCACGAGATAATCCTAACCACATAAATATGCAAGAATATCATGCCACTTAATCAAAGCATCAACTACTAACTGTGCATTAGAGTCTCAAAATGATAGGGTGAAGTTTTGGATAAACATTTAAGTTTTGAACGCTTTCTACCACCAACTTGACATTTCCTTAAGCACATTGTCTTATTCATACTCATACTATTTTTCTGTTTATCAAATTTTCTTCCATTGCAACCGACTTTTTTTTCCTAGACTTTTCTTGTGGCAGAGAGTTCTTTTAGAACTATACCTTTATTGGGCGGGCAAGAGCTTAGAAGCTACTATGCCTCAGCTTGTGTGGAGGATCAATGAAGTTAAGGGATGACGGAAGCTTTATTTGTGTCCTTAAAAACACATCCTCAAGTTGGCAACTGTAACACCCTAACCCGGCCGGGTACTACCTTTACTAAAATGCCCTTGATAAATAAAATACGTAAATCTTAAATTGCAGCGGGAAAAATCTTCATAAATAAAATACTGAAAACACACACTTGTAGTTCAAAGCAAAGCCCTAACACGTGGGCAAATTAAACTCAAACTTTAAAATCTCAATCTGATCTCCAGTCTATACTCATAATCACAAATGTAAATAACGAATAATCTCTAAAGTTGTTGCTACTGAAAACTTTGACTAAACATCCTCTGTGACGCTTGCACTGCCCTCCTCTAGCTGGTTGCTCTCGAACTTTTCCTCTCGAACTCGCTGCTTTCTAACTGCTCCTCTAGCTAGCTGCTACCGATCTAGTTCTCACTCATTCCCTTACTAAGGCCTGGTGAGTGAGTTGAGGTCAGTCTACGCCCTTACGTTTTAAACTTTCTAATAATTTTGCACTTCTTCTCATACACTTAAACTCAACTGATGGAAGTTGTTTGTACTTCCATTCTTAAAAATCTTAAATCTTAAAACTGTACGGGAGGAACTGTTACTCTCCATTCTTAAAACTTAAACCTCAACTTAAATACTTGACTGACACTGGGATCCCTCACTAGCTAGTCCGGTTTCCAACTCATACGTATGAGAAGCCATATAGGCTTTCCTTAAACTTAGTTAGGGAAGTCGTAACGATTCATCCCCCTAACATCTTAAACTTATCATGGTGGCTCTTCACCACGATTCTCAAGAGCATAACTGATGCTCATCTTAAAAGTCTCAAGAGCATAACTTTTGCTCTATCTCCAACTGTCTCAAAAGGCAACGGACTGGCGCTAGTGACTAACACTTAAAACGACTTCACCTTCTTGAAGGTGAGTTACTTCTTAAAAAGAACTTGTTTCTTAAACTTTAACCATAATTTATACTCAGGACAATTTCAAAGTAAGTAATAACCATTCACTTCAAGTCATAATTCACCCAAAGCACATACCATCAAACATAATCATGCATCTCAACCAAAAGGGTCGCGAAGGAGAATCATTTCTAAAGGGTTGGCCAACACTGCCCCAGAAGTCTAATGGGTATGTCTTTCTTAGTGTGGAACGTTAGGGGGCTGGGTGATTCTGATAAGCGTAGTAGAATTAAAAGAATCATCGGTAGAAGCAAGGCGAAGGTAGTTGCTCTGATTGAAACAAAATGGAGTTCTTGTAACCTGAATCTGGTTTCCAGCGTCAGTGGTGTGAGGGATATGGGCTGGATCGCTAAGGACGCTATCGGGAGGTCTGGTGGCATCCTTGTATACTGGGATAATGCTCTGCTCAAGGTAATTTCACAGTATGCTGGCACTCACTTTCTTGCTGCTCAGTTTGAAGAAGTCGTTTCCGCCAAGACTTGGTCTCTCGTAATCGTATATGGGCCTCAAGACAGAAGTGAGAAACTTTACTTTCTCTCTGAAATGAAGAATTTTTGCTCCCAACTTTCACTTCCTTATTTTGTGGCGGGGGATTTCAATCTAATCAGAAGTCACGACGACTACAGTGGGGCTAGAAGGAGTTCTGATCTCATGGATGAATTCAATGAGACTATTGATGATCTCGCCATTCTTGACTTGCCTTTGGGAGGCAGCAGATTTACTTGGAGCAATGGTTGGAACAATGCGTCGTTGTCTCGTATTGATAGGGTCTTTATTTCGCCAGGGTTTGATTCTCTTTTTCACGATTGCACTCTCACTGCCTTAGAAAGGATTGAATCTGATCATAACCCTCTGCTGGTTTCTTGGGGCGGTAATGATATCATTCGTCGTCCGTGGAAATTTGAAAATGTGGCTGCAGGATGACAGATTCTTTCTTAGCGCCGTTGAATGGTTCAAAGCCCCAGTTTTTGGCAAAGGCGCGGTCTTCCTATGGTCTAGAAGGCTGTCTTTTCTGAAACGCAACAATAAGATCTGGAACAAGGAGGTATCCGGGGATATTGGGATCAAAATTGAGTCTCTTCTCTCTTGCATAAAACGCCTTGATGATTTGGAAGAATCAAGAAGCTTAAGTGAGGCCGATTTCGTGGCTAGAGAAGGATGGAAATCAGAGTTGAAGAATGTCTTGATGCTTCAAGAGACATCCTGGAAACAAAAATCTAGGGAAACCTGGCATCAGAAAGGAGAAAGGAATACCAGGTACTTTCATAAGATCGCTAACTACCGAAGGAAGTTGAACTCTATTAGCCGGATTCAAATCAATGGGCTAGTGGTTGAGGGTAAGGAAGCTTTAGGTAGAGGTCTTGCTGATTTTTACAGAGATCTCTTCCAAGAATCTATCATGAACAGACCCTTCCCTAGTGAGTACCTAAACATCAGGCTGGATCCGTCGGATTGTGCCGATCTGACACGGGATTTCAGTGAGAGGGAGATTTGGAATGCTCTTAATTCTAGTGACGGGTTCAAGGCCCCAGGGCCAGATGGTTTCACCTATGCTTTTTACAAGAAATGCTGGCAGCTATGCAAACAGGAAGTTATTAGGGCTTTTGAAGAATTCCATGACGTGGGTTATTTTCCGGATTGCATCACTCATGCGTTCATCTGTCTATCCCCAAAGGTCGACGTTGTGGAAAGCACGAAGGATCTCCGTCCTATCTGCCTGATGAAAAGCTTTAACAAATTGGTGAGTAAGGTGTTGATGAGACGTCTGAGCACTGTCCTGCCAAAACTGGTCTCTCCCAACCAGCATGCCTCGGTTCGCGGAAGACACATTGCTGAGGCGACTCTTATCGCGAATGAGTTGGTGGACAGCAGAAGGAAGAGCAGAAAGGCAGGCTTAATGTTCAAATTAGATATCGAGAAAGCTTTCGATAATGTCAGTTGGGAATTTCTCTTCAAAGTGATGGATAAATTGGGTTTCCCGGTTAAATGGCAACAATGGATCAAAGGGGATTTGGGTTCCCCAATGACATCTATTCTGGTCAATGGTGAAGCGCATGGTTTCTTCAGAGCAAGTAAGGGGGTTCGCCAAGGCGATCCTCTATCTCCCGGGTTGTTTGTCCTGATTATGGACATCCTCTCATTCATGTTGAAGAAGTTACGGAATGTGGATGGGTTGCTGGGATTCGCTATTGATGAGAATAGGGGTGTTGGTGAGGTCACCCACCTCCTGTTTGCTGACGATTCTCTCATCTTCTGCGAAGCATCTGCTGATCAAGTTCTAAACATCCTCGCCACGCTTGTGTGCTTTCAGGCGGTAACTGGCCTCAAAATCAACCTTGATAAGTCCATTATGTTCACAATCGGAGATGTTCACGAACCGGGTTTCTTCGCTTCAATCTTCGGATGTAATTGGAGTAGTGAGCCAGCTAAGTATCTCGGTCTTCCGTTGGGGGATCGTCCGAATGCGATCTCCATTTGGAATCCGGTAATGAGTAAATATCAAGATCGTCTTCAGGGGTGGAAAAGCAAGCTTTTATCCTTCAGAGCTCGTCTGACTCTAAATTGCTCTACTCTTAACAGCCTGTCGGTGTATCATTTTTCGTTATTGAAGGCGCCTAAGACTGTTTTGAACAATCTGGAAAAAATACAGCGAAGGTTTTTGTGGAGTGGGGCCAGTGGGGAGAACAAAAGACACTTAGTCAGATGGGATCTTTGCAAAGCTCCAAAGAAGAAGGGTGGGTTGGGCGCAGTTGACTTAGAGTGTTTCAACAATGCCCTCCTTTGCAAGTGGCTCTGGAAGTTCGCTACAGAAAGAAACAGTTGGTGGAGACAGCTCATAAACTGGAAATATAACAACTCAGATTCAGAGTGGAAAACCAGGAGGCTTGATGAAGGGTTCAACAGCTCGGTCTGGGCTAATATATGCAAGGTACATGACCTGTTTTGGAAAGGAGCGAGTGTGGATCCTGGCCCGGGTACATCGATCTCACTCTGGCATGACAACTGGATCCCTGGGAAGTCGCTAGCGGAGTCTTTTCCGCGTGCTGCTGCTGCTGCTACCTCTCCAAATGCTAGCATCTGTGACTCTGTGTCTATCTCAGGTGAGTTGAGTGTGTGGGATGTTCCTTTCTCTTTAAGTCTTCGGGGTGGGGTGGAAATTGAGAGACTTACTTGCTTTGGTGAGATTAATGCTAATTCCTTCAGAATCTGTACTAGTCCTTGCCGGATGTTATGGAATCTGGATACAGAGTTGTTGTTCTCGGTTAGTTCTTGTTACAGGTGGCAGGTGGCAGAACGATTTCCAGGGGTGGAGAACTTTCAGCATGCTTCGATCTGGAAGAGCATTATCCCCACGAAGATTTGTGGGTTCATCTGGCTAGTCTGGCATAAAAGAATCCTCACTATGGACAATATGAAGAGACAAGGATTGGAGCTGGCCAACCGGTGCGTGCTATGCTACAAAGAAGAAGAGTCGATTAATCATCTCTTGGTGGGCTGCGGTTACACCAGACGAGTTTGGGGTGAGGTTTTCAGCCCCATCTCCCCTCCCGACCTTGCCTCTGGAGATATTTCGACGATCATCAACAACAACTTGACTAATAATCTGGATGGTCTTGAGTCTTGGTTCCGTTCCTGTGCTGTCCACGCAATCTGTTGGGAAGTCTGGAAAGAAAGAAACAGAAGGATCTTCCATGAGCTAAGCTGAACCCCCCTCGTGATTGCTAGGAAGACGGTGGGTGGAATAATTGAATGGATTTTGGCTCACAAGAAAATTGACAAAGATCAGGGAACTGGTTTTCTTCAGAGCTGGTCGCGTAGAGGAGCTAGCACTCATTGAGTTCCTCCTGAGTTTGACTCCTTGTTCTTCCCTTTTCTCTGCTGTTTCGGTTTTCTATCTTGTCTGGTTTCTCTGGGTTTGCTCTCGTCCCCTCTTCCTTCCGCGAAGACGGATTTCTGTACATTCGAACTCCCTTTCCTCCTCTCACGCCTTGTGGGATTTGGCTTGTTTATTTAATAAAGTTCATCATCATTATCAAAAAAATTCTCAACCAGGAATCAAATACTGCACATACATAACGTAAATCGATACTTAAAAATACTCAAGGTAAATACTTGAAAAAAATCGTAAGGCGTCGAATTTACCCCCTTTACACTCACCTTAATATTCAATCTTCTTGACTTGAACTACCGCTGACCAGAACCGAATCCTTAGGATCGTCTCTCCTAGCTTGAATTATCCGCACTATCTGTATCCCTCCCTGTGATTCCCAAAAGTTCAGTGGAATTACCATCCCATGCATGACTTAGTGTCCATGCTAATCAATAACTAATTGTATTATTTAGCAACCAGCTAACTCTGTCCCACGTGTTCCTCTTACTTGCAGCCCACCTAATTGCCAACTAATGAGAAATCCATGTGTATCCTTACCACCCATTAGTTCTCCCACCAACATCGATTACAAACTAGCTCTATTCTTGATTACCTCCAAAACTACATGGCAATTCGAACTCGACAACAAAATAGAAGCGAGTAGCTCTATGGCTCCTCCTTCCCTCTTAACATCGCAATTAGATGAAAATAAACCATCATCATTAAACTAATTCCACTGCGGAGACTCACCTCAATCCCATGTGCTTGGCGGTTACGGTGCAAAGTAAAAGAAAACCAATGATGGACCAATTTGCTGGCGGTGCTGATGCTGGGCAAAAGAGTGGCGGCCAAGGGTACAAAGAATGGCGGCTGGCGGCTGGAGATTTGGCCGAGAGCATCTAGGAAAATCTCCTCCGCTTTGCCTCTCGTACTGGGGAAAACAAGGGCGGCGGTTTGTGACGGGGAGAGGAAAGGGATGGGCGAGGGTTTTTGGAAATAATTTAGGGCCGAGCACCCTCTCGGCCAGTTTTCTTCTTTTTTTTTTTAAATAATAATAATAATAGTTATTATTATTATTCTTTCTAATCCGCGGTTGCAACCCTTAGTACGTAACCGTTAATCCAACCGTTCACGTATCGAACCTGAACCCAAAGGTCGGGGTGTAACAGCAACCAACTCGACGGGTGAGAATTTTACTTGTACTAGAGAGGAACTAGCATCACCTTGTATATATTTAAATAATTATTCAAATGTAATTAATTTCGTATTCAATAATACCGATTGGGATACCGGAATATTCAGGGATGGGGATACTGAAATTATTTAGGGATTGGAATTGGGATTGATTTTCGAGTGTAATTCGGAATTCAGGAATTCGGGATTTGATACTGGGTTACGGATACCGTACCGATTTCCACCCCTACCCCTCACACTTATAATCCCATTACGGGTCCATGCTAATCAAAACAATTAAGCACTAGCACACCG